GCATGTAGGTACTCATACCTTGCCTAAAACCAAATTGATTGTCGCAAATGATGTTATTTTGAGTCAAATGTTCACTTAATCGAGCATAAATCACTTTTTCTAATAATTTCGAGATAACCGGGAGTAGCGAAATTGGTCGGTAATTGTTGAATAACTGTTTATCCCCAGACTTAAAGATTGGTTTTACAACAGCCCTTTTTAATAGAGTGGGGAACACACCTTGATCAAGGCAGAGATTCACGAAGTGTACAATCTCAGTAAGTATTGATGCATACGTTAATTTGAATATCTTAGTATTAATGTTGTCATGGCCACTTCCCACATTACGCATATTGTTTACGATCTTCTTTACTTCATCTTCGTTCGTGGGAGAGAATCGATGAAGTGGTATTCCCACAAAGTTAGGGAGGTTATCAATTGGGTTGCATTCAGTATCTCTTATTTTACTTTTCAGCTCCTTTCCAATGTTCGTGAAAAATGTGTTAAACTTATCAACTATGTCTTAGTGTCTTGCACCACGCCTCTGTTGGTTTTGAACGCATTAGGCAATTTAATGTTTTCGGTGGAGCCCGTGGACAATTCTTTGATGATATTCCACGTGTTCTTAGAGTCCGATGTTTTAAGTTTAGCTTCAATATGCTTCTTTGCTCTCTTATTATTTTCACAAGTAAATTGCGATATCTGCGATACTTGTTGGTATTTTCAAGCACCGGCTCTTTGTTTTTTGACACAAACAATTCATTTTTCCTGGCTATCGAGGCCAAGATACCAGGCGTGATCCAGGGTTTTATAGGCGTATTTTTCCGCGACGGCACAAAAGTTGCGCTGAACTTTTGTATTCCATCTGAGTAGGCTCGAATTATTTTTTCACAAACTAAGTTAGGATCAGTTACATCAGTGAGATGTAGTAAATCAGATTGTAGATGCATTCGTAGGTCAGTGATTCTGTTATAATTAAATGATGTGATTTGTTTCTTCGGTCTCGTATTTCTTGGTTTATATGTTTTTAGGGTGACATATATTGGGAAGTGGTCAGATAGGTCATCGTAAATTACTCCAGTGTCGTTAGCAAGTGATGTGTTGTTACAATATATGTTGTCTAGCAGAGATAGTCTTGTTTCACATTGTCTGGTTGGGAGGGATATAAGAGGAAGAAAGCCATAGGACAACATCATATTAAAGAATATCTCCGCATCATGATCATTGTCCAGCGTGCAAAGGTCAAAACTGAAATCACCAGTGACGATCATTGTGCTGGATGAGATATCCATGGAGTCGAGTATAGTTGACAGCTGTTCACAAAAAAGAGCTGGACAAGTATCAGGGGGTCTGTAGAACTGTGCAAGAATTACCTTAGAATAAGGTAGACAGCACTGCAGAATTACTGCTTCCGTACCAGTTGGACAGTCAATGGGAACACGCATGGTAGAAACTACACTGGCTGTACGAACATATACAGCTACGCCACCACCTGTGCGACCTGTGCGATTTTGAAAGAATGCTGTATAGCCAGGTATGTTGCGATATTTATCAACATCATCGTGTAACCATGTTTCGGATACACAGATCACGTCCCATTGTGTACCAGTTGAATGCAGAAAGGTATTCAGGGCTTCATATTTCTCAACACTTAAAAGAGAACGAGTATTGAGGTGCAATATAGAAAGTTTCTCAATGTCTTGAGAAAAGGTGTTGTTATTTGTTGTGACAGTGTAATATTTACAGTTGGTTCGTATAGATTCGAATTCGTTACTAACATCATGATCAAGATTAGTATCAGTATCTTGGAATGGATGAAATACCTTGTCATATAACAATGGTAGTTCATTGTCATTAATTCTAGTCAGTGGCATACAACACTAGGGTTATACCACAGAGTATGTAACTAGAAAGAGAAAAAAAGTCTCCACCAACTTAAACTCCACACCAACTTTGAAAACGTTTCTACACCCATGTCGCAAATGTTCATATGGTTGCTATATTCGAATTCAGCTCCAAAAACTAGCTTAGAAGCATGTAAAACTCGAAAAAGTGAACCGAGGTCATCAAAGGTCAGTGACCTGACCTGACCTTCAGGTGACCTTGACAGCCACCCTAATGCATGGGACCAACATCATATCACATGGCTGAACGCTTGAAACCACGAAAAGACTGCAAACGCGCGGCTAATGCGAGCTGACATTCGCCGAATCGCGATTCCGGCCAAACGTGGTCTCGAAAAGTAGGTCACAGGTCAAAGGTCGTTTGGATCAGTCATGAAACTTTCAAGATAGGTGTAAAATTGATTAACGCGAGGGTACTGAAGTTTCGTCGCGATCGACCGCTTTTTGCGCGAGTATTTCGCGGGAAACTGAGAGGGGGTTCGTTCGACCCCCCCCCCTTCCCTACGGGGGTAGATCGAACGGACCCCTTAACTAACGGGCGAGGGTTAATAAATTCGTTGAAATCCAACGAGGCGTCAACAATAACACCTAGGCTCTTTGTTCGTTGGTGTTCTCCAGCTTAGTACCACCAAGCGTGAAGATGGGCCTATCGGACATCATTTGCTTGGTAGGTACCTTCGAAGAGTCTGACACTTTGAGGCATTATAGACCATATCATATCTGCTATGTAAACTTAGTAATCAACCCCTTACAACCTAAAGTTCCCACACTCCCCTCCACCGTACTCTCGCCGTGTAACTGCGCGCGCGTCGCCGCTCGGCATCACTCTTCCTCCTATGCAAATTCCTGCCACCAGATGTCACCCACTTCGCTGTCTCGAGGCGAATAGTGAGTGCTTCACGATTCGATTCGATCCGTCGCGGCGTGGCACAGCTAGCTTTCAAGACCGCCGCGCGCCACCGGCTTGACTGTTCGTCGCTGAGCTGGTTACACCTCGGATCACATCAGCGCATCGGGGTCTCGGTGGCCGAGTGGTCTGAGCCGCACGGTTTCGAAGTCGTGTGTCCCGGGTTCAAATCCCGGCAGCCCCGCGCTGTTTTTCGCCAGCATGATGGAGGAATTCGCTTCTGCCCTGGTCAGCCTGACGGAGTTAATTCGCCAACAAGCGGAGACTTCTAATCGGCGGGAGGAACGTCTGGAAGCACTTGCTGCTTCGCAAGCTACCGCTCTCACCGCTTCGGCCGACAATGGTAATGATGTTACTCCGACCATTCGTCCTCGGCTTCCGGCATTTGCAACCCCAGCACCGCGTCTTTCTGGCGGTGCCAGCCTCCGTGAATTCTGCACTTGGAAAGAGCGACTCACCGGTTACAACATGCTGACAGGAGTCAACCAGCTCACGCAAGAGGAACAGCGAGCATCACTTTACAGCCTGGTTGACGACGAATGGCACCGGATCATCAAATTCGGCCTCAACATCACAGAGACAGCCAGTCTAAACGACACCATCCGAGCGATGGAAGACCACCTGAGGAGCCAGCGCAATGTCATCCTGGACAGACGCGACTTTTTCCGTCGCAACCAGCAGCCGGATGAGTCCTTCGACGACTACCTCATCGCGCTGAAGGAGATATCAGAGTTTTGCGACTTTTGTCGACACTGCACTGAAGACCGACTCCGTGATCGCATCATCACAGGTCTGCACGACGAAACGGCCGTTCAAACCCTGCTCTCGGAGAAGGACCTCACGTTGCAGAAGACCGTCGACATCTGCCGCGCGCGTGAGAACGCGTTTGTTAACGCCTCAGCACTCGCCGGTGATCGTCTCAACGCCGTGTCAGCCTACCGGCGTGGCGCACGGAGCTACAGCTGCGCCAGGTCAGCGAGCCGCAGCCGCCGAGCTGAACCAGAGGGCCGCGGCAGTGGAGCCGACCCAGTGGGTTCGGCCCGGATCCGAGACACAACGCCGGAGAGACGATGCCGTTTCTGCGGAGACGAATGGCATCAGCAGCTGGCCATGTGTCCTGCCCGTAACCATCGGTGCTCAAAGTGCAACAAACTACATCATTCTCCCACGTATGCAGAAGTGACCAGATTCGGACATCACGCTCTGGACAGCATGAAAACAGGCAACCAGATCGTCAGCAACCGCCTGTGCATGAGCCTACCACACAGCGAGAGGTGTCACCACCACGGAGAAGGCATCTACGTCACTTGCACGGCATCCACGTGCGAGGTCTATCAGCGCGACGGACGCCGAAAGTCGACCTCGAAGTACAACACGCCCGTGGACATGCTGTCATCCCATGGATACCCGACAGCGGTGCAGAGGTCTGCGCTATGAGTGTCCAACAGGCCCGTAGCATATGGCGTCGACGTAAGCAGCCTCTCGCCGCCACCAGATCAGCTGCTCGGAGCAGCTGGGGAAAAAACTGGATTGCAGAGGAACGTTCCAGTGCACACTCAGACTGGGTGAGGAGACCACATCGGTCGTCACCGTCTGCGTCATCCCCCACATCACTGGTGCTCTGCTGTCGTGGACCCGGTGTGTCGAACTCGGTATTCTGCCGCTCGACTTCCCGAAGCAAATCAGCCGCACAGATGCAACGCATCGCATGGAAGACGACAGAAGCGCAGAATCAACCGGATCACACGTCCACCAGCTTGCTTCATCAGATCAAGACGACAGCAGCCTATCAGCACAGAGCGAACGGTTGTCACAAGCCTCTTGCAAGCCGACTCAAGCCAAGTACCCGACCTGGCACGAAGCGCAAGGCGAACCATCTGAGGACGTCAAGCAACAGCACCTCAGCATGTTAAGGGACGCCTTCGTCGAGGTGTTCGACATCAACCGCCCACTTCGGGAGATGATCGGCGGGCCAATGAAGATCGTGTTAAACGATGACGCCCAGCCCTACGCCATCACCGCTGCCCGCTCCATCCCGTTCGCCTGGAGAGAAAAGACCAAGGATCAGCTGGACAAGCTCCTCCGTGATGGTATCATCTGAGGTCACACACCCGACAGAGTGGTGCCACCCTCTGGTCGTGGTACCCAAAAAACCCGCAGAAGGCAGCAACAAGGACAAATCAGATGTCAGGATCTGCGTCGACCTGACGATGTTGAACAGGCACGTCCGGCGTGGCGCTCATCCTCCACCGTCATGCAATGAAGTAGTCGCCAGCATCGACAAGAGCAGCAAGTTCTTCAGTAAGTTTGATGCGAAGAACGGCTACTTCCAAGTACCGCTCGCCGATGAGTCGAAGGATCTGACCACGTTCATCACCCCGTGGGGCAGATTCCGCTTCGAGAGATGTGTCCAAGGCCTCAGCTCATCTGGAGATGAGTTCAACCGCCGAGGTGATGTCGCACTCGCTGGAATACCCAGGACTTGCAAGGTGACGGACGATATCCTGTGTCACGATGACACGTACGCATCCCATCTGAAGCACGTCATCACTGTTCTGGAGCGGTGCAAGGAGCACAACATCACTCTGAACCCAACGAAACTTCAGTTCGCTCAGTCAACAGTCGAGTACTGCGGATTCAACATCAGCAAAGATGGATACACCGTGGACCGGCGCAAACTTCGCGCAATTTCCGACTTCCCAGTACCACAGAACCTCACCGATCTTCGCAGCTTCATGGGGCTCGTCAACCAGCTAGCCTCATTCTCAACAGACACAGCGAGCGCTGCCAGCCCGCTGCGCGACCTCCTCCGGCCCCAGAACCACTGGTGCTGGACCAGCGTCCACCAACAGGCTTTTGAAGCCGTCAAAGCGACACTTGTGTCACCACCGGTCCTGGCGTTCTTCAAGCCCGGCCTGCCAACAGCCCTTCACACCGACGCCACACGACTGCATGGCCTGTCGTACGCGCTTCTTCAGAGCCTTAGGTCACGTGACCTTAGGTCAACTTTTGACCTTTCGACCTTTCGAGGTCAACATACATATGTTTCGATGCGGATCGCCGAGAGGATCACGATGGTGCTATTAGTTTGTTCCTAGCTGGAATACCTTGAAAGTTATTCGAGAAAAACTTCATATATATGTGGTGCCGCAATTTTGACTTCCTTTTGCTCCTGTGACGTCATCTTTGACCTGACCTGAAAATGACCTGAGTAAAAATTATAGACCTTATCCATTTGTACCCTGCACCGTTTACCGCTTGTCGCTATCTTGCTTTATTCTCGAGATCTCGCTGTCGCTCCCGCTCGTAATAACGGACAGGTCATAAAAATGACCTGACCTGAGGTCAACGCAGGGCGATATCCACTTTCTTATTTTCGCATATAAATGACAATTGATAAGGCTTTATTCGTCATCAGATTAAGTTGCAACTTTCAGTGGGGAAAATATCAAGGTCACTCTTCGAAAAATAGGTCAAAAGGTCACGCGATCAAAATTTTCAAAAATTGAAAATCCGAGATAGCCAAAATGTTTGTTGGTTGATTGTGAGTTGAACCATATAAAGTTTTTATCGTAGAAAACCAATAGTTTTTGAGTTATAGGCCGCCAAACATAGGGCTGCAGCGCGACATCCAGGAATTGCCCGAGGCTATATCTCGGAAACCGTTGTTCGAAGAAAAAATCCTTGCCACAGCTGGCTTCCCCGCCCACCACAACCCATTAGACCAATTTTAAGCAAAAAATAAAATATGAGGGTGCAGGGCACTTGTCGATTTGTCGTGGAACGCCCCAGCTCCAGGACGGCAACTGGCGCCTCATCCAGTGTGGCTCACGTATCGTCTCTGACGCAGAGTCACGCTACGCCGTTATTGAGTTGGAGATGACCGCCATCTGTTAGGCAGTTCAGAAGAACTATCTACCTAGCCGGACTGAAAGAGTTCGATATCATCTGTGATCATCGTCCTCTCACCCCTCTGCTGAACCAGAAGTCACTCGCCCAAATCGAGAACCCCTGTCTTCTCCGCCTTCGAGAGAAGCTGGTACCATACCACTTCAAGGCTGTCTGGAAATCTGGCAAAATGCACTGCATCGCAGACGCCCTCTCCAGAGCTCCTATCGATGACCCGACGGAGGATGACCAAGAAGCCGAAGCAGAAGTCCGGCATCATCCCCACAATGTTGCACTATCTAGTGCCCAAGAGGTGGACCACAACGGAAACGGTGGCACGCCTGACCTGATCATGGATGAACTCCGTGCTGCTGCCAGGAGCGATGAGGAATATCAAGCACTGGCAGACACGATCCTCAACGGCTTCCCAGACCAGAAAGCCGACCTGCCATCCAGTCTTCGAGCCTACTGGCAGGTGAAGGAAGATCTCTCCGTCAACGACGGCATCATCCTGTGTGGCGCACGTCTTCTCGTTCCACGCAGCCTTAGACGAGACGTGCTCAAACGCCTCCACGCCGGACACCAAGGTATCGAACGGACAAAGCGACGCGCTCGCCAATCTGTCTACTGGCCCGGTCTCAACCAGCAAGTACACGAGACCGTCACAGCGTGCTCAGCCTGTCGCAAGTACCTGCCCACACAGCAGAAAGAACCGATGCTGAGTGATCCAGAGCCGTCTCGCGTCTTCGAAACGATGTCCGCCGACTTCTTCTCTCATGCGGGAAAGTCCTGGCTTGTCATCGCCGACCGACTCTCAGGATGGCCCATCGCCGTTTCCATCGACGGTGAGCCGACATCCAGGATCTTGGTCAGCCACTTGAGAGAGGTGTTCGCCGTCTACGGTGTCCCCAATCAACTCAAGACCGACGGCGGGCCACAGTTCACAGCCCGCCACACCCGCACCTTCCTGGAGCGATGGGGCGTGACGCACACGATATCATCCCTACATTACCCGCAGTCCAACGGTCATGCAGAGGCGGCGGTCAAAGCCGTAAAACGGCTGGTTCAAAAATGCAGCGTGTCCGGTCGCCTCGACCTCGAAGAGTTCTCGCAGGCCATGCTTAAATCAGGAATACACCCCGGGAGGACGGTCGATCACCCGCTGAGGTACTCTTCGGACACCCACTGAGGACCATGGTGCCGATGCACCACTCCGCCTTCGCTTGTAAATGGCAACAGGCTGCTGACGAGTGTGACAAGCGCGCTCACACCCGACGGGAAGCCGCTCGCGAACGCTACGACGCAGCAGCCCGGCCCCTGCCGTCTCTCAAGATTGGCTCAAATGTCGCCATTCAGAACAACGAAAGTGGCCTGTGGGACAGGTCCGGCGTCATCGTCGCCATCGGTCGCTACAGAGCCTACCTGGTGAAGCTCGCCAGCGGTCGTACACTGTGGCGGAACCGGCGCTTCCTACGACCGTATCGCCCACTCGTTCCCGTCAGCGAACGCCGTACCGATACTGAAGCGACGGCGCCAGCCACTGCAGCAACGGCTACCACGCCGTCAGTGACGTCAGGCCGCACCGCTCCACCATCCGCGCCCGCAAAGCAAGTCCGGTTCGCGGATCGCCCTGCTATCGCCGCTCCACGTCGCAGCGGCAGGATCACACGGCCTCCTTCCCGACTCCAGGTCGACCCCTGTCTGCAGTCATATGCGTGATCGACTGAAGGGGGGAGGTGGGCGTGGGGGGGAGGTGTACCATACGCCATTATTTAGTGGCCTCGACTCTCGAGTCAGCTGTTTGCTCCCAGTCAGCTGTTTGCCGAAACAGCTGAACGCGGGATAGCGGCAGAGTGTTTTGGGATTGCCTCGTGTGTGATCAACGTGTGGTGCGCAGAATACACGATAAAGCATCAGAACAAGTCGGAAGGCGAACGTCATGTAGAGGCACGTGAGAAGAAGAACGTGTCGCAGCAGATGTCAGCAAAAGAGGCAGTAGGATAAACATTCTCGCTTCCATATCTGTAAGCACACAAACGAAAGTCACTGACGGATAACGACATAATTAACACACAAGTGCATTGGCGACAAAATGACGCACGGGTCAAATATAACATAAACTAAATGGTCCTCGATAATAAATCGTTAAGCGGACTGACTCTGGGTGTAAAGAAGCTATTTTTCCCTGTACTTCGACCTTTATTGACAGGTCTTCAAAGGGGCAATGCGATTCAAAAAACAAACAATAATCATGCTATACTGCCATCCACGAAATTCTCAAAATGATCGATGCTAAAACACGTGACACAACTTACAGACAGTTCGTACTCCAGTAGGTCTACTTTTTCAAAACACTATCCCATATAGGGCTAAGCGAGAACTTTCCGACACCCTGATTCAGTGATGGGTTGCATAATCGAATCTCGATGGCCTCCCTTACGACACGGCGGGACCATGTTGGCTCGACCGCCAGCGTGCTAGCCTGACCTGGGTCAAATGGTTGGCGACACTGGAGCCAGTGTTCAGCTAAAGGGGATGTGTCTGACCTCCCATGCCTTATGGCTGCTACGTGTTCTTTAAGTCGCATGCTTTTAGGACGCCCGGTCTCGCCAACATACGTGGCACCACAATCACAAGTAGTCTTGTAAATGACACCTTTTTGCAAATCCTTTGGTGGTACGTCCTTGGCTTTAACTAGTTTGTCCCTGAGTGTTGGCTTCGAGCTATATCCTAACCGAATCTGGTGAGGCGCTAAAATCCTAGCAATTCTTTCGCTGGTTCCTTTGACGTAGGGGATGCTAATGTACATAGTACGGGGTCGTTCGGTTGTCTGGTCGTCCGGTACGGCCGGATCTGTCCGGTCGGGTCGCCCAGCGGTCGGTTGGGCTCGGTTATCGCCATCGGTCAGCTCCTGTCTCTGCTGCTCCGTCGCAGCCCGCTGTTTGGGCTTCAGCGCTCGTCTCACGTAATGTCTCGGGTAGCCATTTTCCTCGAAGACTTTTTCTAGACGTGAAATTTCCTCCTTCCGAGCGCCCTCCTCGCTGCATACTGCTTCAGCACGTTTGGCTAGACATTTGATGACACCTGTTTTTATGGAGTCTGCATGGTGAGAACTGAAGTGGATATATAAATTGGTTGCTGTAGGTTTTCTGTAAACCGTTGTTTTCAGCGCGTTTCCCGCTCTCGCCACTTCTACGTCCAAAAAGGGAATTTTCCCATCTTCTTCGACCTCTCGTGTGAATTGTATGTCCGGGCATACGTTGTTCAGATGCCTATGGAACTCGTCTAACGCGTCCGTCCCATGTTGCCAGACCACAAAAGTGTCGTCCACGTAGCGCCGCCAGTATTTTGGCTTGAGATGAGCGGTTTCAAGAAGTGTTTTCTTGAAACAGACGAAGCCATAGACGCCGTATGTGAGAAGCTTCTCAATGACGAGACACTCCCAGACAGGTGTGGAATGTCTGTCGATTCTATCAGAACACTGATGAAGGAGTGCCTAAACTGTAGCTATTTTCAGTGTGGCGGCCAGCTATATAGTCAGCTTGAAGGAGCCCCTATGGGCCTTAGTTTAGTCGCACTGGCAAACGGCTTCATGGAGACTCTCGAGAAAACACTTCTTGAAACCGCTCGTCTCAAGCCAAAATACTGGCGGCGCTACGTGGACGACACTTTTGTGGTCTGGCAACATGGGACGGACGCGTTAGACGAGTTCCATAGGCATCTGAACAACGTATGCCCGGACATACAATTCACACGAGAGGTCGAAGAAGATGGGAAAATTCCCTTTTTGGACGTAGAAGTGGCGAGAGCGGGAAACGCGCTGAAAACAACGGTTTACAGAAAACCTACAGCAACCAATTTATATCCACTTCAGTTCTCACCATGCAGACTCCATAAAAACGGGTGTCATCAAATGTCTAGCCAAACGTGCTGAAGCAGTATGCAGCGAGGAGGGCGCTCGGAAGGAGGAAATTTCACGTCTAGAAAAAGTCTTCGAGGAAAATGGCTACCCGAGACATTACGTGAGACGAGCGCTGAAGCCCAAACAGCGGGCTGCGACGGAGCAGCAGAGACAGGAGCTGACCGATGGCGATAACCGAGCCCAACCGACCGCTGGGCGACCCGACCGGACAGATCCGGCCGTACCGGACGACCAGACAACCGAACAACCCCGTACTACGTACATTAGCATCCCCTACGTCAAAGGAACCAGCGAAAGAGTTGCTAGGATTTTAGCGCCCCACCAGATTCGGTTAGGATATAGCTCGAAGCCAACACTCAGGGACAAACTAGTTAAAGCCAAGGACGTACCACCAAAGGATTTGCAAAAAGGTGTCATTTACAAGACTACTTGTGATTGTGGTGCCACGTATGTTGGCGAGACCGGGCGTCCTAAAAGCATGCGACTTAAAGAACACGTAGCAGCCATAAAGCATGGGAGGTCAGACACATCCCCTTTAGCTGAACACTGGCTCCAGTGTCGCCAACCATTTGACCCAGGTCAGGCTAGCACGCTGGCGGTCGAGCCAACATGGTCCCGCCGTGTCGTAAGGGAGGCCATCGAGATTCGATTATGCAACCCATCACTGAATCAGGGTGTCGGAAAGTTCTCGCTTAGCCCTATATGGGATAGTGTTTTGAAAAAGTAGACCTACTGGAGTACGAACTGTCTGTAAGTTGTGTCACGTGTTTAAGCATCGATCATTTTGAGAATTTCGTGGATGGCAGTATAGCATGATTATTGTTTGTTTTTTGAATCGCATTGCCCCTTTGAAGACCTGTCAATAAAGGTCGAAGTACAGGGAAAAATAGCTTCTTTACACCCAGAGTCAGTCCGCTTAACGATTTATTATCATTAATATACCTGGGTTTAAATATGACTTTACAGTCTCATAAAATGGTCCTCTGTCCATTAAAAGCATGACACAATATATCTTTCCAAACACATAAACACTTCTCTGTTCCTTGTCCTATCCATGAGGCGCTTCCACCATAACACAATGCATAGGCTCACTAAGCCATCGTTCATGACACATAATTCATAATCCAATGGCACTACGGCCAGATTCCAAACTTAGGCGCACTAGCCTGTAAACTACAAATATAACCTATAACATATCCTATGACTTCAACAGTTGAACCTGTAGTTGGCGATGGATTATAAAGGACACTTTTGCGTTAGTTAAAATGTCTATTCGAGTACGAATACGACAAAATTCTGTACAAAACAAGGTAAGTAATTACACGTTGAAAAGACGTGTTCTTCAAATCTCTCTCCCTCTATCTCTTTGCTTCTTCTCCCTCTTTCTATCTCTCTCCCTGCTCTCCCCTTCTCTCTATCTCTCTTCTCCTCTCTGCTCGTTTCTTTCCCCTCTTCTCCCTGTCGGATTTTTAAATCAATTTTCTTATCAGTCCAATTTCTCGCACTATTTTTCTGTAAGCGCCGCACATTAGCTGTCTTTCTAAATATAGACTGTGGCACCTCTCACAAACTATAGCGTAACACAAATATTCTTCTAACTCATACACTCCCCCCTGATCTCCGATCATCTCAACTGTGGTTCAGGTACACATTCTGCATCGAGTCTGCTGCCTTGTTACGCGACGTCCTCTTCCCAATGGCTCGTGGACAGGCTGTTGCCGGTCCTCTTGGTCAGGCTCGGTCCCACTCTGCTCAAGCTCAGGCGTCTCAATCAGCTCGTGACTGGGCGCCCTCATATCTTCGTTTGTGCTCTCGCTCACATCCAGCGTTGGTTGTCGAACAGAAACTTGCACGAGCCATGGTTCCTCCTCATCCGCCGCTGCTCCCCCCAGCTCATCCTCTGCCGCTGACCGCTGGCTGTCGCAGGCAGCAACTGGTCGTAAGTCACGCACGTGACGGGGTATACCGTCCACGTCAACTGCTTGTGGAGACACCACATTGGTGACTGTGCCAATGTAGCTTTGTGCGTCACATCGGCGTGTCGGATCTCTCACCCAGACACGGTCACCGACCCCAAACCGGCACGCTACGATTCCGGGTTGCATGCACCGGCATCGATCCCGCGCAGTCTGACTTCGTATCTGTACAACGCATTGGCCGGTGCTGTTTCAGGGTTGATGTCGTCTTTGGGGGTCACATTGTGCCAATACAAAGCTTCTTGCACTGAACAGCCCGTGCGGGCTACGGTTCGTTTGATTGAGCGATGG